TTTCTTCGCCACGCAGATTAATTCATGCCGCTAATCTGAAATTTCTTCGTCAGACTTAAGACTTATGCATTTAAAACTGAAAGTGGGGATTTCTTCGCCCAGTAACAGATTAATTTATTCTGGTACCATTAATATGGGCTGCTAATCTGAGATTTCTTCGACAGATAAGGTTTACATAGAATTACACCATTAATTCGCTATTCAATTGCATCACCTTAATGACTACAATGATACTCGATAGATACAAGAAGGCCTTAATTTAGGGAGATGAGGAACATAGCTCAAATCACTATTAAAAGTAAATATACTGCAGTGAGATTTCTTCGTCGCCCAGTTTTAATATCACTGCCAGTGGGATTTCTTCGCCACGCAGATTAATTCATGCCGCTAATCTGAAATTTCTTCGTCAGACTTAAGACTTATGCATTTAAAGGAAGAACGTGATCGCAAGTCCAAACCCTTGAAACCATCAAGACTTTCATCCGAGACTGCATCCGGACACTCATCAACGACCAAGGCAATGCAAGAAATCATACATTTAACTAAACGAAACAGAGGTTTAGTATAATCGGTAGACCCCGTTGTAAAATGGCACTGATGGTTTTTAACTGGTTCTGACACATTTTCCATAACTGCATTCACTGGTTTCATCCACTTTAGCTCCCCTTTTGTATGTCTGCGGGCGTTAGAGATTATTTGTTAAATATAACAAATAGTTGTGTGTCTGATTGGTCCAAATGCTACACTTAATACTTTACCTTTATAAATCACTCTTATTCTTAAGTCTAGGAATAAGAGTAAAATTACATCATTCTTAAAATGTTGACGCAATTAAGACTAAAATTCTATACATACGGAAATTAGTTGCTGTGTCTAACAAAACAGATGTTTATAAATTTGCATTTTTCTTTTTTCTTATTAAATGTGCCATATTTTACATAAAATTCTTACATTGTTTCAGTTAATTCAGTCAGAATAACAAGAAACTATAGAGTTGTTACCTTTAAAATAAAATCAGTATCAACAAACTTCTTTCCACAGTAGGGGAAACAGAAGCTGCATCTGAAGTGGCATTAGATGTATTTGCACAGACTATTTAATGAAGCTGAGGTGTCATAAATGTATTTACCCCACAAAATTGCAAATGTGTAAATAATGTTTTAAGAACATACAAATAAGAAAAATGCAATGATACTTTTAATTATGAAACCAAACCACCAAGTAAATCAAGTCAAGTCACCATTATTTATATAGCGTTTTTTACAATGCAGATTGTGTCAAAGCAGCTTCACAGTACTAAACAGGGAAATAGTGTGTTAAAATAGTGTGCCATTCTCCTCTGGCCAGACGAAACCAGCAGTTTAATTTAAATGACTGATTTAATTTTAATGAGTGAGTCATTTAGTCATTCGTTCTAATGTGTGATTCATTCAAAAACGAGGCAAGCAGGGCTCTGAACCGGTTCAAGGAACGAAAACGAAAACCGGAAACGAACGAAATTTTGACAGGAACAGAACCAGAAACAGAAACTAAATCGAATTTTATAGTTCCGAACAGAATCGAAAATTTTAAATGTCCATTAACGTTATTCACCTTAATAACGTTATTTTATCGTTCCATTTAATATTTGAAATTTGCTGTGAACCAATCACGAATTCCAGTAGTACAGTCTATGCAAATGTAACACTGACGCCAATGAGTGAAATGCCGCTCAGCTGTGAACTCATCATAGGTAAGTCACAATGGCAATGCACCGGCGTTAGAGTTTATCCGAGGATAGTGTAAGAAGGATTCAACAGATCACGTGCAACTGCAGCACTTCTGTGAACGGAGAAAACAAAATACAACTATAGGCTTACATAAAAAGGAATATAGGCATATACACAAAATATATTTCACTTAAATCATTGACAGATTAACAAAACGAAAGAACAAATGTGCTGAGTTACGGTTCATTGTGACGTGTTCCAAAGTTCTCGGAAAGGAAAACGAGACAGCAGAAAGTAGTTTTCTTTATTTTGAAAAAGCTTTACAGTTTTATTTATTTTGCAAAAGCTTGACAGCTTTGAATAATGTCTTACTTCTATCTGTATAACCAACCAGCATTGGTATGACTATCGGGCCGGTGCCTCACGCACACGCACAACATATTTTTGCGACATTGCAGCCTGTTCATTATCAAAATAAAATACA